AAGAAAATGTGGTTTTTTTATAAAATGGAGTACTACTCATCCATAAAAAGCGAGAAATTAGAGACATCTATAGCTAAGTGGATGCACATTGAGGAGATACTCTTAAGTGAAATAAATAGGACACACATGTATAAATATCGAATAGTTTCTCTGGTGTGAGAAACTGAAAGTGTAAATAAGGACTAAAATGTATAATAGGTAATGTGAAATAAGAAGAAAAGGGGCAAAGGGGAAGGAAGTGAGAGGGCTAGGGGAAAGGACAGAAGGGAATGGGATTAATATGAGAAAATGGAAAAATAGGAACAAAATCTTTGTAAATAGGGAGGAATGGAGGGGTGGAAGGGAGGGCTGGGCAAAGGTGAAAAATAAGAACCAAGAGAGACTATGTAAAGGTGCAAATTTCCAATGATGAATGTCATTATATTGTATACCTAAAATGTCCCAATTATTAGAATGAATAATCGATAATGCAAAATAGGAAGAAAAGGTCCAAAGGGGTAGGGGTAGTGGGAGGGGCAGGGGAAAGGAAAGAAGGGAAAGGAAAAATGATGAGAAATGGAAAAAATGGAAATAAAGTCTTTGTAAATAGGGAAGGGTGGAGGGGGTGAAGGGAGGGCTAGGAATGGGGAAAAAATAAGAACCAAGATGCATTATGTAAAGGTACAATTCCCAGTGAGAAATATAATTGTGATGTGTATCTAAAATGTACCAATAAAAGAATTTAATAAAAATAAATAAATAAATAAATACCTCTTCAATGTCAAAAAAAAATAGCTTTTCCATATTCAGTGTGGAAAGGCCAGATGATTAAAAAAAATTGGCATTATAAAACTATACCCGGAGTGTGCCAACAGCAGAAATGATGGCTTTTGTGAATGGAAAATCTGTGACCCTTCTTTATGCCTCTGTTCACTGGCATCTGTTACACAATTCTGTTCTAACAATTTCGGGGTGGAAGGGGAAGATCTGCTTTAGCAAAAGCCAGAATACTTAATGTAAAATTTTTCATTAAAATATCAGATTTAGAGAACCACTTCAAAGCAATCCTACTAAACTTGTAAATTAAACAGGTTTAATTTGTGAGTAGCAGTAAAAGAGATTAATAAATCATCTACCAGGGAGAAACTAACTACTTAAACTTTTTTGTTGTTGTTGTTGTTGTTTTTGTTTTTTGTTTTTGGTACCAGGGATCGAACTCGGGTCCTTGCACTTGCAAGGCAAGTGACGGAACCACTGAGCTAAATCCCCGGCCCGTCAACTTAAATTTTGAATGTTTCTGAAACAAGCCCTGCAAATTAGATTAGTAGCCTCCATGATAAAACTTTTGTAAATTCATGGATGATATTTACATTTATATGACAAGAGAGATGTCTGTTATATTTCATTGAGGGAAATACAGTAAGTGAGCACACATTTGATTATGTTTTAAATGCCAGACACTGTGGCAAGGTGGAGTGGATATAAAGATGAAGAAATGAGTAAGGTACTATACCCTTCTTTGAAGAAGCTCCTACTCCAGTGTGGAAAACAGATGTCAATGCCATGAGAATAATTTGGTGGTGAGGTCAATGAAGGAGATAATGAGCAAGGTTCTTTTGGGATCATAAGAAAGAATTGTTGATAACTGGCACCTGGCATCAACTGTCATGGTGAGCATTATTTTTTAATGTTCTATTTCTGGAGACTGAAAAAAAGATTTAAAAAGGCATATTTGACTTGACCTGGGATGATGATCAAAGTTTTAGCAGGCCAGGCAAGGCAAAGATATTCAGAAGAGACTGTATGAATAGAGAAGATAGAAATGGAAACTTGTTTGAGAGGGATACTGAATTCAGTTTTAAATAGTTTAAGTTTAGGATTCATTTGTATTGATCTTAGTATATGTGCTGCTGAAGTGAGCACAAATTTGTATTGATCTTTTAAAACTTGACAAGTAAAATTTGAAAAATCATTGTTGCATATAGTAAAACACATAGATAAAATAAAAAGAATGACTTTACAAGGGCATGATGCTATTTTTAATTGATGATTTTCCTAAAGAACTTGGAAGGCTTTTGACTTTTTTTAAATTGAGTTTTGCATTGAAAAAAAAAAGGTCACAAAAGTTCAAAAACTTTTCCAGCATTTGAATTGTGAAATACACTTATGTGTATATTTAAAAGTAAAATACCAATTTATAGTTTTACAGTGTTACTGTTATATGCTTGTGTTTTTGTCACTCTCTCAGGAAATAGACTGCTTATCTGATGATGTATATTCTCCTTAATAAGAACACACTCAGTCAGTCATAATAGGTCATTTTATCAGAGTATGACCTATAGAATCCATGACCAGTTTTATACTGCTTTTGTTTCATTGTTGTTGTTTTTACTTCTTGTCTCTACGAACGTCATCAACTACCCAAGTGAGCCCTGAGGTTCAGTCACTGTTATGGCTTGTGTTTAGATGCCCCCCTCAAAGCCTCATACACAGGAGGGGCTTTTTCAGAGGTGGCTGGATATAGAGTGTGTGATGCTGGAGTTGATTGAGGGTGCAATGCTAGGATCAAGTTCATTAGGATTAAGGGTGTGAGAGCTACCTGCTCCAAGTAGCCTGGATAGGATATAAGGGATAGAAAGAGCTGTGTTCAACCCTTGCTTGCTTGTTTTTGCTGTCTTCTGCTTGCCATGAAGTGGTTCTCCTCTGTGATTCCCCTTTGCCAAGCCACCCTGCCTTGGAGCCAGTCTATTATGGACTGAAAGAAATCTCTACAAACTGTGAGCTAAATAAATCTTTTCCCCTTTAACTTTGGATGTTGGGTATTTTGTCTCAACAATGAGAAATGTAACTAAGAAAGTCACAACAAAAATGTGATGTTCTTAAGATTGAAATAATAAAAGCAATTGAATAAAATTTGGGGGGGGTACTGGGGATCGAACTCGGGACCTTTAGCTTGCGCGGCAGGTGCCAGAACCACTGAGCTAAATCCCTGGCCCGGTTGCATAAAATCTAAGATTGAGAACCAGTGACTCTTTGGGTATACTTTTATTTTGTTTTGTTTTGTTTTTTTGGTACCGGGGATCGAACTCAGGTCCTTGCGCCTGCAAAGCAGGCGGCGGAACCACTGAGCTAAATCTCCGGCCTACTTTTGGGTATTTTCTAAGATCAACTCTTCTGGACAGTTTTCCTTCTCTGAGAAAGGGATTGCCCAAGGAATCAGAAAAGGAAGCAGCTTTTCAGTCTCTCCAACCCAGTGATAGCATTCATCTGTAGAGATTCACAGTGAAGGGAGCGACATCAGGAGTGGAGTTCTGCCTCTCTGTTCCAAGTAGGTTTTTTTCTTTTGTAGTATAAATCAGACTTTAATAGGACCTTAACCTGTTTTTAAGTAATGGGTCAAGTGAGTTCTCCCAGATCACTGGGAGTCCATAACACACATTTGGCTGTTGGCCAGGTTTTATTTTTGTCTTTTAGAAGACTTCTGAAAGACTTCACTACATAAGCCATCAGATGACAAGATATCTTAGAACCTGTTCTTCATGCTTCCTTCACTTTTAGGCAAGCCTCCTCTCAGCCCCAAAATAAAGCCACTAGTTTCTTTTTTTATCTCATAAGCCCTCTTGCCAGAAACACACCCTGGAAGTATACATGGGATCTTTAAGCTTTGTCTCCACTTGTCTGTGCAGGGAGAGAGGTTTTCTAAGGGGAGGGAGTCAGGGAGTCTGTGGAGTGCTTCTTAGCTGCAACTGGCTTTCTCCTACAGTAAACAAATCAATGTGCCATTATGAGGATTAATTTCCATTCCAGGACTACATGATCTAATCTACATTAGAAATGTCTTATCTTCCTATGGACATTTGTTCTTTTTCTGGTTTTCATTTCAAAAGATCCTCATATAAACTGCATATAGGTCTGCTTGAGGCACCTGATTAATTAAAGCTAGGATTTAAACATATCTCTCTACTCCATTTATTTTCTGAAAATGAGGTAGGAGGGTGGGTAGCTTCCTTCTTTTACACTACGTTAGTCTAATGTTTGTTTTGTAAACTTCTAAGCAGACAAGGCCACAGACATTGACTTGGGCTAACTTAAGTAGAAGTGAGTTATTGGAAGACCTTTGGGAAGCCCACAGAATGATGGGAGCTCAGAGAACCAGATTTAGAAAGGGGGCTATGGAGGGCTCGACATTAGGAACTCTGTCTTAAAATGAGATAATGAGGGATGCATGCTATCCCTGCATAACTATCTTCCAGATTTTCCAGCTATCAAAATGTCACCATCTTAACAATTTGAGCCCCAGAATGAGCTCTGACAACTGAGCTTGGGTCACATGCCTGGCTCTTGGTCTAGCTGAGGAAAGGAAGGCATGGTTCTTTCAGTTTTGGGAATAGGAGCATGGTCACTAGGAATTACTGCCCCACCAATATTATACACTATGTGGATGTGTAAATTCCAAAAGAAAATCTGCTTTTAGGGCATCAAAACTAAACAGATGCTAACTAGAACTGTATTTTCAGAAGAGCAGTTTAAATATTCGAGAAAGGGATTGAAAAGTAAGCATGGAACAAAATGAGAGGAGGGCGAAAGAAAATGGGAGTAAGTGAAAAATCAGAAAACATTCTCCCCAGAACAACTATTCTTTGGCAATAAGTATATTTACTTGTACATACAAGTCATCATGGCTTTTTTTTCCTCTAGCAGAATTTTAATTCACCACTAGATGGTGCTTTAAATCCATATGCACTAGTGTGGCGTGGATCTTGGGGAAGCTCCCAAAGCTCTGCTTATTTTCACAACTTTCTTAACCTTCATTCAAGAAACACGGGGGGAGTGTGTGCCCAGAAGAAGGTCACCCCACTTATCTGTGCAGATAGGGAGAGGAAGATGTCCTAACAACTGAGGTTTGGGCACAAGGTAGGAAGGATACTGGGAGGAGAACTGCAGTTTAAGGGTTTGGCGAATCCTTGCCTTGAGGCTCTAGCAACCGCCGAGCCTTTGTTGCGTCCTAGCAACTCGCTCCGCCCTCCTCTCCCTCCGCTTCCTTCAGCACCTGCTTCCCGCTCCGGCTCACTTTCTCACTCTGTCTGTCACTGTTCTGGTGGGCACATTTTTTGCACTCTTGGAGAAAGGCTGGACAGTTTTCAGGCATTCTGCCGTGGCAGCCTTCCAAGAGCCAGATCAAGCAAGGGACAGGAAGGGCGAGAAATAACATTTATTTAAGAAAAAAGTAGAAAAATTTCAAGATTTTTATTTTTAAAGGACATCCTGGGCTCCAGAGAGAAGTGGCTGGTGGGTGGGTAAATCACTTTAGGAGAAACTTCCTATAAGGAAGGAAGAAGAGAGCCACCGAGGACCAAACAAGGAGTGAACTGGGGACTGAAGATGTTGGACACTATGCTCCCTGATGTACAGGAGCTGGGCAGGCCGGTGCTGCCCACGCTGCCCTCGCTGAGCAAGGAGGGTAAGGCTTGGAGCGGGGAGACTTGGGGTCTGGACCTTTACCTTCTTCGCTGGGAGGCGGGAGGCGCAGTATCTATTTTCCCATTCCTGCTATGGGCCTGGCCTGGAAGGACTAGGTTCCTTAGCAACGAGATAGTAATCAAATCAGCCCAAGATGGATGCCTAGAGACATTATTGGCTGCCTTACTCAGGGAAAGGAGCCTACTGAAGGTTTTGACTAAACTCGCTAAAGCATATACGACACTCAGCTCGCGGACTATCATAAAGTTCTCAACAAATGCTAGTGAAAAACGAAGACCCCACCCACGGGGCAGAGGGAAACTCTCGCGGCTACCCAGAGAAAAGCCGTTTAGAGGAACCCTAAATGGCTCCTTTTCAGAGTTCATACAAAAGCACAGTTGCTTTTGTTGTCTTTCACACTAATTTTGCAGTTAAGAAAATGAGATGATCTTAAAGCGATACTGGGTATCTGTTTACAGCGGGACTTGACATCCTTTCGTAGAAACCTCATCAGGTTTGGTTAGTAGCAAGACACAGTCTGTTTTTAGCATATTTTCTAAGAAGATTCACCCCAACTGGACTTTGAGATCTGTTTACAAGCCATAGGATCCCTTTGGAAGAAAAATATTTCAGAAATGGAAGCTATTATTATCAAGCCATTGTAACTTAGAGATGTTAGCTAGGCTTTAACCAAATGACTTTAGGAGACAAAATCAATGAGAATGATTTTTTTCTTCCCCCATAGCACTCCTAATTTTCCTGTCAAAATAATTCTGACAAAGGCATTAAAGGGAATGGCTTTATGGATTTAAAAATATTTGCCATATTTATAAATTGATATAGTCTTTCAAGTAATTTTAAAATCCTATGTGCTGAGTTCTATCTAGGGAACCTTGCAAATTTACAATCTATTTGGAGAAGATACACATTAAACAAATGATCACACAAATAAATGAGGTGTGATCCAAACATATAGTGAATGTCTAAATTAAAACAAAGTATTACAGTAAAAGACACATTGTTATTAATTCATCTCAAAATACCTCCCTCTAGCTTTGAACACACCATTATTCATGCCACTTTTTTTTTTTGGTACAGGGATTGAACTCAGGACCTGGTACTTGCGAGGCAGGTGGCAGAACCACTGAGCTAAATCCCCAGCCCATGCCACTTTCTAAAGCAGTTCTGAAGTCCTTTTCTGTGAGTGACTTTAGTTGTGGTGCTTTGGCTACCTCAATGTCCTGAATCGATTCAAAATGTTTACTTTTCATGGTCATTTTGACTTTGGGGAAGAACCAGAAGTTGCACAGTGCCACATCAGGTGAATACGGTGGATGAAGATACACCATGTATTTAGGAGCCTGCCATTCCATGGATGGCACTCAGCAGGAGCATTCATTGTATATATATATTTTTCATCACACCTGGTGAAGACATTCATCAAAGAGGACTTCCACATCTGCTTCAGAAAATGGCAAGAACAGTGGGCTAAGTGGATTAGAAGTTAGGGAGAATACTTTGAGGGGGATTAATGGCAATGTGTCTTTTACTGTAAAACAAAATTTTAATTTAAACACTCACCATATATTTCAATCATACTTCATAAATTTACATTTTAGCTAAGTGCTACCAAGAAGATAAATGGTATGATAACAACTTTTTTAAAAAGACCCCTTTAAAAAGCACTTTTTAGTTCATAGAAAAATGAAGAGGAAAATACAGAGATTTTCTACATTTTACCCCAGTAGATGCAACAGCTTCCTGCATGTCATCATCTATGCATGCTATCACCCCCCACCAGAGTGGTACAGTCATTAAAACTGATGCACATACACTGACACATCATAGCCACCCCAGAGTCTATAGTTTACATTTAGGTTCACTCTTGGCTTTGTACGTTCTACAACAAATGTAAAGTGATTTATACCCATCATTACAGTGTCATACGAAGGAGTTCCACTTCCCTAAAAATCTTCTGTGTTCTGCCTGTTCATCCTCAGCCCCACCCACAAGCCCTGAGAAATCACTGATCTTTTATTGTTTCTATCGTTTTGTCTTTTCCAGAATGTCATATAGTTAGAATCAGACATTATACAGCCTTTTCAGAGTAGCTTCTTTCATTTAGTAATATATTTTTAACTTTCCTCCATGTCTTTTCATGGCTTAATAGCTCTTTTTTGGGGAGTACCAGGGATCGAACTCAGGTTCTTGAGCTTGTGAGGCAGGCGGCCGAACCAATAAGCTAAATCTCTGGCCCAGCTCATTTATTTTTAAGGGTAAATAATATTTCATTACCTAAATGTACAGTTTATCCATTTGCCTGTTAAAGGATATCTCAGTTGCTTCCAAGTTTGGGCAGCTATGAATAAAGCTACTATAAACACTTGTATGCAGGAATTTTGTTTGTTTGCTTTGAGACAGGGTCTTGCTTTGTAGTTCAGGCTGGGTTTGAACTCATTATGTAGCCCAGGCAGGCCTCAAACTAGTGGCAATCCTCCTGTCTCAGCCTCCCAAGTACTAAGACTACAGGTATGCACCACCACGCCCAGCTTATTTTTTAGACTGTATTGAAATTCTTTTCATTTTGAGATTTAGTAACAAATTCCGGAAAAACTGGAATGTAGGAACAAATCAGCTAGAAATCACAATCTGTAAGACTTATGAGTATATTCTAACTGAATTTCAAGGGCCTAATACTTCCTAATGGCACCAATATGCACGTTTTCCTTTTGTTTTTTTTTCTTCCAGTAATAAGTAGCAAATGTCAGTTTAAATAATTATTCTTGCCGGGGATTTAGATCAGTGGCACTGCTCCTGCCTCACAAGCGCAAAGTCCTGAGTTCGATCCTTGGTACCGCAAAAATAAGTAAATAAATAAATAAAATTTATTCTTTATATAACTTTGCCTTATAATAGGAATTCTTTATGGAATAGAGCATTATAGTGGACTCAAATAACTTATACAAATGAAGAAAAACTATTCTCAAGTTTCCAATTAAGCTTGATCTTTTCATCAGAGCTGGGTTGCTAACTATACAGTTTCTCCTGGCCCCAATTAAATCATTTCCTTTGGTGTAGATTGTTTTTCCAAAATCTTAGCTGCATGTCATGTCTGGGTGAAAGACTTTTAGTCATAAACTTCAACAATTATGACTTAATTCCTTTGAAAATTTGTATGTAAATCTGAATACTAAGATTTTTATTAGTGAATTTGTGACATTCTTGACCATTATGAAAATTGTAACCCAGTATATAGTTGAGTCTAGTTAAAGACCTTAGTTCTTGGCAGCTAGCAGTAGAATTCTTTTGGGTTCTAGAATGTAGTAGGATGGGGTAGAGTAGGGGAAATACCTGATTATAGAAACTACACATCCATGCTTTAGAATGAGGGGCAGAATCTTGGTCTGTCTGCTCACTGCGGCAGGCAGTCCTAGTTTCACTGGTGTCGAATGAGTTTCCAACATCAAACTTGTCCTTGATGCTCATGAGAGTAACTGTTCCTTCACATCCACCAAACCTGCCTTTTCCCTGACATACTAATAACAATGTTTATAACCCTTCTATATCAGAGTTAAATGATTGCAATCTCCCTGCTCTTGTTAGTGGTTTAAACCATTAGAGAATACCAATAAATTAAGCATTTAGGGAAAGAATTGGACTTTTGTAACCAACTTAATCAGTGTGCCACAGTGGCATCCTACTGAATGTCACCTTACTTGATCTCTTATTTCTAAACTGAAAACTTAACACTCTTCATTTGCAAAGTGTTTCTAACTGGAAAGTGTCTTTAATAAATACACTATTAGGTTTGGAATGGGTATGTCAACCCAGACACAATTCTCTATATTTCTCAATACACTTTGCCTTATTCCTGGATTACAGAATGGCATAAGAATGAATGTTCATAATATTTAGATGGCACAGAGTAGATACTTTAATGAGTTGTTAAGAAGAAGCTAGATTACACTTTGTTAACTCCATTTGTAGGATAAGGGAAATGTATGATGGAGTTCTCCCTATTCTACAAAGGTTTTCTTAAAAAATGAATTATTGTTATTGTTAAAATCATATTTTTAGAACTTCAAGGGATAAGCTTTAGTTACCAGGCAAATTAACTTTGGAATGACTTTATTTTCTGCTAATGCTAATACTTTATTTTCTGCTAATTATGAATTACTGTCACTTGATTCTGTATTCCATATTTACATTTTTCCTTACTAGCACCAAGATGCTCACATATAGGTGCCCTCATAAATTATTTTGGTTTTCTTTGAATTTCAGAAGTCTCTACTATCTGGGGGACTGTTTCAGAATTTGTGGAACGACAGCTAACCTTGCATAAGGTGGGATTTATTCTTTAATTTTAACACAAGAGTCCAAAGAATATTTCTTGAATAGTCTTGTACAATTTTTTGGAAGGAGTGTAGAAGATTTTAGAGCCACCTAGTTTGACTTGATTTTATAATGTTCATACTTAGGGCATGTGGATTGTAGATGTAAGAAATGTGGAAGTTTTCCTAGGTGATGAATTTGTAAGTTGTTTTTCTACTGTAGTGCTGATCACCCTGGGTTTGTGTAAAGAAACTAGATGAGTCCTATTTGTCACTATTCTGACATTTCATGGCATAGCTGTGGAACAGTATCATGCTTCTTGTTTTCCCTTTTTGCAGGCCATGGATTTTAGTTGAAATCCATGAAGATGAGGCAAAACTGCCAAAAATGAGAAACTTTGTTCAGGGACGGACTGTTTCCTCTTATCAAGTATTGAGTTTGGTTACCATAGAACTGGTCAGATTTTGGGAGGAGGTTGGAGAGAGTTAAGAGGTTGTAGAACTTAGTACCCTACACAGAATTCCCACTACTTAGGCTGAATTTAACCTTTAAATATATTTTATTTGATTTGAGAATTTGAATTAGCTATCACCACTTAAAATTAGAAGTCTATATAAAAGTTGGCATTTCCCCCTCCTCTTCCTTGAAAAATCAGCAGACCTGACAAGCACAGCCTTCCATTCTTGTCTGTGACACTTGGCTGGAGCTCACGATGGCTCTCCTCTTTGTATGAGATGTGCACTCTTAAGCCACCACAGTCTGGCTAGTTAACCTCAGTCTCACACTCTTTCCTGCAGGTATTTGAGTTTGTAACCCTTGATGTACAATATCTCCAGGTAGACATAACCCAGCTCAAAAGCATTTGCTTCTACCAATCACCAAGCTTATTGCCTTGTAGCATGTACCTGTGGAGCTGGGCTGGCTGATATCAAGTGGGAGACATACGATCTGACAAAGAGAATGAGAAAATTGGGATTCTCATGCCCCATTAAATGCCAAATGATTAAAATGTAAAATATCACACAAGATGAGAGAATCTTAGATAATAGACTTTTAAAAGCTATGACATCCATGAAAGTTTTCATAGTCCTCAGCCTTTTAACGATGTGTAGAAGATATCTGTAAAGCATATATTACATTTTATTCTAAATTTATTTCAGAATTTAGAATCATAAAATACTACCACTATAAAGGATGATTGAGATCATTGAATTTTTAATGAATAAACTCATATTCTTTTCATGTTTTTTGGATAATATGAAGGGTTCTTCTTCATTCTTTCAATGAATTATGTTTTTCGCTTTCTTCTTCTTCTTCTTCCTTTTAGGGGGTTAAGATTCCAGGACTTGGAACTTTCACTTTCACAAGACAAAAGCTTGAGGTGGGAAACAACAGGTTTATTTTACTCCAGAGGCCTGTGTTCATCATGGCTGAGAAGTTAGTGCAAATCCATGGACTCAAACAAAACAAAGTATATTCTTCTGGTAAATAATTCTAACATTTAAGACTTTTGCAGAAATTTACTAGCCTGGGGATAAAAATGATAAGACAAAGATTGGCTAGTGCTGCTTATTAGTTTCTGGTTTGAGGGAATAATATTCCACATGGTACTTTTGGCAGAGGGAGGGACTGTGGTGGGAAAATAAGTCTTTCCACAGGCCATTTTAAACCATAATACCAAAAGAGGCAGTCATGAGAAGATCTGATGCTATTTAAAGGCAAATTTATATAAAAGCCATGTCATAGACTTGTACAGACTCTTATTTGTCTTTCAGATCCTAAGAGGTTAAAAGTTTTATTAGGAAGAGAAATGTTATTTGGGTCTCTGGGTGGGAGAATTATAGTAATATTAGCTGTTCAAAAAAGAATTAAGATGTGTTATGTACATGTACCAACTTCCCACGAAGAATACAATCATTACGTACTGCAAACATTTACTAAAAAAAAAAAAATTGAAAAAAGATAGTTAAATGTGTTCCTATCACAATATAATCTAAATTATTAAAATTTAAAAGTTAGAAATTGATTAATTTCATACTTAATGCATATCTTAAATACTTTTCCCATACCCTAAAATGAGCCTGCCTTCCTTCCTTCCTCCTTCCATCTCAACCAACCTCTCTTTCCTCCCCTCCCCTCCCCTCCTCTCCCTTTCCTTCCCTTTTCTTCCTTCTGCAAATACTTATTGAGGGCCAATTATTTGTCAGACTTGGTTCTAGGCACAGGATGTTTATAATCCAGCTTTACTTGTGGGCTTTATGACAATTGCTTTGGTTAGTTAGCAACCTTTTGGGGCTTACCTTCTGATTCCTGACTCTGTTCCTTATTGTCCTGTCCTGCATCAGACTTGGATAAAGAGAGATAGTCTACCTCCATTGGCAGAGGTAAAAATGCTGTAACTTTCCTGAAAATTAATTTTTAGAATAACTTTCCACCAGAAAAATGATATAGCCAGGTGTGTTGGTGCAGGCCTGTAATCTCAGCACTTGGGAGTCTGAGGCAGGAGAATCATTGTGAGTTCAAGCCAGCCTGAACGACATAGTGAGACCCTGTCTCAAAAAACCAAACCAAACCAAAACAGAAAAATTATATAGTGGAAAAATAAATACCAACAAACTATATTTAGAATATATTCAGTACGGTGAGTTTAATAAATTTAAGCCATTTTTACCTAAAATCTTATGACAGAAGAAATATATAACATTTCATCAAAAATCTACCAAAGGAAATGAAAATAAAAACAGTTTTTTTCCAAAAATGTTTTTGTCTTAGCATTAGAGCCAGTTTTCAATCTTAGATCCTGTACTGCAATCCAAAAAGTAGTTTGGATTTGTACAGGATAAAGAAATTTTAGAATTAAATGTAACAAAGTGAAGTAGTTCAAAAGAAGAGTATAGTTTAAATTTGGGGTTATGATTCTCCATTATTAATACAATTTATAATCAATAATTAGTATTAGTAGATCAGTTATCTAATCAAACATTGTGGCTTTTAGTGATTATTAAGACATGGATCTTGCTTTGAAGAGCTCAGGATCTAGCACAGACAATAAATGCAAGTGATGCAACATAATTAAGCGCTATATAAATAGTCTGGATCAGAACTGGATCACATGCTGTGGGTGCCCAGGGTAGATTTTGCTTACCTCTGCTTGGCAGGCTTAGGACGATGATGTATGAGGGGGCTGTTTAAGGATGGGGGTGCTCTGCCAGCAGAGAAGATATTTCAGGACTAATATGAACAAGGCAAGAATAGCATTAACTGCCATAAAGAATGAAGGGGAAAGACAGATGGCTGTGATGGATAAAAAAAATGAGTTTGCTTTTGGACATGCTGGATTTGAGGTTCCTGTAGGGACATTTAGATAGATAGATGTTATTGTAGCACATAGGAGAAAGATAGAGACTAGAGATCGAGATTTGAGAAGTCTACTCAGGAGAGGATATAAGGAAGACAAAGATCAGGACAGAATACTGTAAACAAAAAAATGAAAAATGCACACTAAGACCCTCAGTGATGCCTCTGGCATTTTACCCAATGGCCTATGATCAGGTTGAGGAAATTATTTCTGAGAAACAGTGAGTGGTTATAGAAGAACTAGGGTATGGATAGGGTCAGTATCCTTGGTCATAAGTGGTCATTTCATCCTAAATCAGCATCGTGCTGGCAGCAACGTCAGGCAGGTATATCCACTTTATGTTGCTTTGGGCAGCCTTGTTTTATCCTTGCCTTTTCTAAAAATCTGTGACTCTCATAGGCTTAATAATTTTTAAAAAGCAGCACAAAAAGAGGAGGACTCATTTCTGCACTGCTTTGAGAGTGAGAGTACCTGTAATTCAGCTTTCAGAATTGATGGGAAGATTCCTAAAACTGAAGCTTAAATTTATAGAGTCTTGCTGACTCATGAGCCAGAGGTCAAAGTGAAGGGACAGATATAACTTCTCAGCTCAGACCCCACCTTTTGGTTTATTTTAGTCAAATCAAACCTGAAAAAATAAAAATAATTAGAACAACCCTCCCTCCCTCAGTATTATGAAGAGAAGAGAAGAGAAACTAGCAAAGAGACTGAGGATGAGGAAACTGGTGAACTAAGAATGGTGTGGTGGATACAAGAAAAAAGAGAGGGCAAGGCCAAAAGAGTTACAGATTGGTCGTGAGAGGTGAGATGTGCAAAGCGTCCATTGGCTTGTCCATTATGACTAATAGTGTAACGATGAGTGGGCTAGAAGACAGATTGCAGAAAGGCAATGGGCAAATGGAAGGGAGAATCTAAAGACAGGCAATATGACCTTCTTAAGAAATTTGTGTTAGAAACCAAGCACTGTGGTGGATGCCTGTAATCCCAAGCACCTGAGAGGCAAGAGGATTGCAAATTGGACCTAGACTGAACAATTTAACAACTTAATAATATCCTGTTTTAAAGTAAAAAATAAAAAATGGGCTAGGGATGTACCTCAGTGTGAAGGTCCTGAGTTCAACCCCCAGTACTGAAAAAAATTGTATTAGAAAAAAAAAAAAGAAATGAAGAGAGGTGGAATAGAATTATTATGAAATTGTGTAGGAGACACATAGTGAAGCTCATGTATTGTAGAGCTGTTAACCCTCACCATTCAGCAATAGTGGACATTTGAAAGGCTATAATTTAGGTTGAGTAAATGTTTAGAATACCCTTCTCTTTTCTCTGATTTGTTGTTCTATCAGTGGACCTTGTTATTATTTCCCTTTGGCTTTATCACCTTGATCTTCTTTGCTATTTACCCTTTTTCTGACTTATGGACCTTGCACAGCTCTGACATATCTTCTAGTCAAGTAAATCCTGTGTTTCCTTCAAGCTAGATATAATCTTACTATTTTGCAGTGTCATTTATGGGCTCATTGGACAGAAAGAGCTTCCTGCAAGTCATCCACCCTTGTATAAAACCCAATTTCTTTTGAACAACTTAAAGTGAAGAAAACTATCTTTTAAAAACATTTGTAGATAATTATAATCATCTTAAATGGTTTTATAATTGGAAGAGAGCACAAATATCGCTGCAGCATGTTCTGAAAGATAAAGGAGCTTAAAACTTTAGAAAACGCTCTTTGAAGAGAAGCAGTTATTATTGTGTCTCCTAAAGAAAGCTAAAAACACTAACTGTAGAATGTTGTTTAGAAAGGTAATTATTTTATTTTTGAGCATACAACATTATACTTTTAGGAAAAATTGTACTGTTGTGTTGATTAAATGCAGTAATAATATTACTTTAGCTACAACCAAAGGTTTCATGTGGAAATTTCTATTTTTGAATAGTAAATGATAATTATTTTTATGTGTTATGATAGATCTTAATTGTAATCTCCACCTCCTTTCCCTTACCTCAACTGTCTTTTTCTCCTCTAGGCGATATCCCAGTTATTCCACTTAATTTTGTCATGATATCCCTGCAGAGTCCATTTACCAGGGATACAGTGGAAGGATGTGTTAAGGAGACATTGCTTTTTCTATCACGATCCATTTCCATAAAAAAAAATGTGGAGTTTACATTCAAAGGAATTGGGGTACTTCTGATCAGAGACAGAAAAGTGAAGATGAAATTTTATAAAGACTTCCTTTGTACTGTGGATGGAAGTGGGACTTTGATGAAAGCCTTAGCAAATGTAATGTTTTCCTTCTCTTAACTCTTCCCCATTGTAGCTCTGAATCATATACAGCTATGCTGTCATTAAGACAAGCTCAGGTTGACATATTTTAAGTGATAGTTTCCCCAAGTACATGGAAATATCTATAGTTGATTAACTCTGACAAAAAAGATGAGAAGGGTAAAGCAATCTTTAAGCCATGCCAATTAAAGAATATAACCAATATTGGAAACTCTTATAACTATGGATATTTTATAGTTTAAAATATATGTTATTTCATTTGAGTCTCAAAATGTTATAAAATTAGCAATGTCATTCTGATTTCACAAGTGAGGAAATTGGAGACTCAGAACTCAGGTTACAGAGGCCCAAGGTCAAGCATTACGAGCATTGTAATTTGAGCTGACTTCCTCATCACTTAGTTTTTGCATTAATGAGTACAACAAAATCTAGTTCAAGTCACAGCAGTATGTCTTTAGCTTTTAATTTGCCATTTCATAAAGAAAATTTTGTAATTGGGCACCATCATTGTTTTTTGTCTTCTTTGTTACTCTCTGGTTTTATTTATTTATTTATTTATTTATTTATTTATTAATAAATTTTATTTTATCCCACTCCCCCTATCATTAACCATTGTTAACCATCACTGTTAACCCCCACCATTGTTAACCAGTGGGACAACCACCCCATCATTGTTAACCATTGTTAACCAGTTAGCTGGCATGACTTTCACTCTAAGTGGGCATAGCAGAGGTTAAGAAGGTAATGAAATAATCAACAGGATTTATTGAATATTCAATGGGCCTTATATACACTTCAGAGAACTAGCAAAGTTGACATGAATAAATGGAATTATCACAGAATCCTAGAGAGAAAAATCCCTGATTTTTAAAATGAAAATTCGGTGAGAGCTGGGCAACTGGGCATGGTGGCACCTGCCTGTAAACTCAGGGGGCTGAGGCAGGAGGATTGCAGTGAATTGGAGGCTAGCCCAGACTACATAGTGAGTTCAAGGCCAGCTTGAACTACATAGCAAGACTCAGTCACCCCATCCAAAGGCCTTGAAAAAGATCTAATTCTACTCTTTTCATGGAGCTCTGGGATGGCAAGTTAGGAGATGAGGTTGTACATAATGAGACTTTTGTTGTTTTCTATACGTCCTGGTTTATACAGGATTTCTAAGAGGGATGCCAACCCAGTGTGTGGAAAGTGGGAACATACACAGGCAAAACTCTGTCTTTTCTATGAAAACACAAGACAAGATTTGCAAATCCATAAGCAAGGCCAAAGTGGCTAATTCATCTCTCACCCTGAGGGATTCTGCTGAACTTTGGAGCTTCACTATGTGTTTCAAAGACAAGATAGCATTTTACCTGGTCTGCTGAACTCTAAGGCATAACTCTTTTTTTAAACCACTGGGGACTCAATCTAGGAGTTTCACACTGAGCTACATCTGCAGAGTTTTTTATTTTGAGACAGTTTCCCTAAGTGTCTAAGTTGCCCAGGCTAAGCTCGAATTTTTGATCCTTCTGCCTCAGCCTCCTGGAGTATTAGGATTAGGGTCACCACGCAAAGCTAAGCACAACTTTTAAGGAACATTTCCCAAAATAAGATATTGTATAAAGAGAAAGTTTGGAAGCCATAGCAGATTGAGAACTTCTGATTGCATCAATCATCCTCAGGTAAAGAGGCACCAAGCACATCAGCCAGTTAAGGAGCTGAGAAGTCTGGCTGTAAAGCAGCTATTGAATCATGGAACTCTCAGTTAGGCCAATACTTGTCAATGGCTCATTAACTATATACTCTGTGAAGTTGTGGGAGTGATAGTGTTATTCTCAATTGTCCTATGACTTATCCATGAGTAATGTCCTGTAGGGATAGTCCTTCTGGAACTTGTGCTTATTTCAGTGATGGCTATTTTTTTAAGCTTCTTTTTGGAAATTTCCTTCAAAGCCATTTGTGTAGGACATAGCAATTCATTGAAAAAATAATAATTTTCTATATTATGCTATACTAATATTGGAATAGTATGGTCATTATATAGTGTAAAATTATAGCAGCTATATATTGAATCTTTATTATGTATTCACTCACATAAAGTACCTAATAAAAGTCCTAGAAATCAGAGCCGTTATTGCCCCACAAATCTAGTGCCTAAGGTCACATATCAGTTAGTGTGGGGTTTGAATGAGAGGCTACTTGACTCCAAAGCTCTTCACTTAATTTCCTAACTTTAGAATTACTGGGGTCAAGAGTGGAATCAGCCAGTTTGCTCATTTTCTTAATAGTTTCAAGAAGCCCATTTTATGTCTGAAGATGTCTGAGAGAAGTTGTCAACTTTGAAGGGAATTTCCAAAGAGGAGATGGTTTGAGAAAAGGCAGCATCAGTGGAATTGCTGTGCAACCATCCAGGGTTACTAATTTGATGAATGAAATTTTTCCTAACTGAATTTTTTTTAAATTTTATTTGGTACCGGGGATTGAACTCAGGACCTTGTGCTTGTGAGGCAGGCAGTGGAATCCCTGAGCTAAATTCTCAGCCCTCCCTCACTGAATTTTTAAGCTCTTGGACAAAACTAAACATTAAATATCCTGGTAGCCTTGCCTCAGACACAGCCAGTAGTTTCTGATTTGTCTGTCCAGGCGTACAGCCCAGGTGTAACTTTTTCTATCTCTCTCCTCCAGAGGCCTGGCACTGTGGACTCAGTGTTGTCTTCCAGAGAGGCCACTGGGAGGCGGCCTGGCAGCACTCTTGGATTTCCAAGGTTAGTGCTTTGCTCTGTGGGTTTCTCTAGGCACTAGTTCTTGCTTATCTGCTGATCTGATCAGATGGCCTTTCTCAACCTTCTGTGGTTCATGCTCCTTTTAATGCATTATCTTTCTGTCTTTCTTAATGCACCAGCAAAGAAGAGTTTATTGCATACATTTTCTGTAGTTAAATAACAATGGGCCTTTAGAATATTTCTTTTTAAAGCTACTCTTGACTTAACTGGAAATTCTGGTACTAGACTAAGGATACTAACGCTTAGTCTCCGCAGTATAAGACTTTTTTTTTTTTGTATTAAATTCTTTTATTGGTACATTGTAGGTATACAACACAATT